ATATCATTGATAAAGATATTAAACACAACTGGCCCCAGTACTGAGCCCTGAGGAACACCACTTGTGACCGGCTGCCAACTGGATTTAACTCCATTCACCACCATTCCTTGGGGCTGGCCATTCAGACAGTTTTTTACCTCGCAAAGCATACACCCGTCCAAGCCACAGGCAGCCAGTTTCTCCAGAACGCTGTGCGAAATGGTGTCAAAGGCTCTATGAAAGTCTAGGTAGACGACATCCACAGCCTTTCATCTACTAAGCAGGTCACCTTGTCATAGAAGGAGACCAGGTTAGTCAAGCAGGACGTGCCTTTCATAAACCCATGCTGACTGGGCCTGATCACCTGGTTGTCCTGTACATGCCACATGATGACAGTCAACATGATCTGCTCCATAACCTTCCCTAGCACCAAGGTCAGGCTGACCGGGCTGTAGTTCCCCAGATCGTCCTTCCAGCTCTTCTTGTAGATAAGCGTCACATTTCCTAACCCCTAGTCAACTGGGACCTCCCTGGTTAGCCAGGACTATGATAAATGATGGAAAGTGGCTTGGATGGAAAAGCTCTTCTACCAGCTCCCTCGGTACCCTTAGATGGATCCCATCCAGCCCCATAGACTTGTGTGTGTCTAAGTGGTGCAGCAGGTCACTAACCATTTCCCCTTGGATTATGGGGGCTTCATTCTGCTCCCCGTCCCTTCCTTCCAGTTCAGTTGGCTGGGTATGTCAAGAACAATTGGTCTTGCTACTAAAGACTGAGACAGAGAAGGCACTAAGTACCTTAGCTTTTTCCTCACCCTTTGTCACTATGTTTCTGCCTGCATCCAATAAAGGATGGAGATTCTTCTTAGCCCTCCTTTTGTTACTAATGTATTTATAGAAACATTTTTAATTGTCTTTTACGGCAGTAGCCAGATTAAGTTCTAATTGGGCATTGGCCCTTCTAATTTTCTCCCCACAAAACCTCACAACATCCTTGTAGTCCTCCTGACATGCTTGCCCCTTCTTCCAAAGGTCATAACCTCTCCTTTTTTCCTGAGTTGCAGCCAAAGCTCTCTGTTCAGCCAGGCAGGTCTCCCTCCCCACCAGCTCATCTTTTGGCACATGGGGATGACCTGCTCCTGTGTCTTTAAGACTTCCTTCTTGAAGAATGTCCAGCCTTCCTGGACCCCTGTCCCCTTCAAGACTGCCTCCCAAGGGACTCTGTCAACCAGGCCCCTAAACAGGCTAAAGTCTGACCTCCAGAAGTCCAAGGCAGCAGTTTTGCTAACCTCCCTCCTTACTTCTCCGAGAATCAAAAACTGTAATTTCGCAATCACTATGCCCAAGATGGCCTCCAACCATCACATCACCCACAAGTCCTTCTCTGTTCACAAACAGCAGGTCCAGCATGGTGCCTTCTCCAGCTGGCTCCCTCACCAGCTGTGTCAGGAAGTTATCTTCCACACACTCCAGGAACCTCCTAGGTTGTTTCCTCTCCGTTGTGTTGTATTTCCAGCAGACATCTGGTAGGCTGAAGTCTCCCACAAGAACAAGGGCTAGTGATCATGAGACTTTTCCCAGTTGCTTATAGAATATTTCATCTACCTCTTCATCCTGGTAGGGTGATCTGTAACAGACTCCCACCATGGTGTCTGCCTTGTTGGCCTTGCCCCTCATTCTTACCCATAAACACTTAACTCTTTCATGACCATCGTCAAGCTCCAGACAGTCAAAACACTCCGTAACACACAGGGCTACTACCCCACCACCTCTCCTTCCTTGGCTATCCTTTCTGAAGAGTTTATAGCCATCCATTGTAGCACTCCAGCTGACTCATCCTACCATACTTCCATCATTGCAATTGTATCATAGTTTTTCAGCTGCACAATGGTTTCCAAGTCCTCCTGTGTGCTTTGGTGTAAATGCACTTCAGTTGGGCTATTGATCCCGCCACCTTTTTTTGGGGAGAAGCCCTAATTCCTATGTGACTGTTCTCATGTGTTTCCGTGGTTTCCAATGCATCGACAACCCCTACATCTTTGCTACCGTGTGCATCTCCATCCCCTGCCTCCACTGAGGCTAAGGTGCTGTGTGTTAGTACAGGGACCTTTCAAACATGTTCATCATGGAGCAGACTTGCTAGCACTTGCTAGCACACCACCCTCAAACACTGGCATGCAAATTATCTCTAATGAACCTTGGTTTATCCCTTTCCCCCTCAAATCTAGCTACAAGCCCTGTTAACTCCTCATGTCACTTAACTTGTTGATTTCCTCAGGTGTAACTGACAGGCCACAGACTGAATCTGCTTCATGAACTCCCCCATTTGTTCTGCAGGTCTTCTCTATGAGATGGAGAAAGGTGCTTGAGCATGGACCCATGCTCTGACACCATGGAGGGAACAAGACAGCAGTAGTAGCTATTCCTGTGGGTGGGCTGCCTTGTGCAGTCTTTCCCCTTCATCAGCAGAAGCAGCAGCCCAGACCTCTAGATCAGGAAGTTCCAGTCCTACAGCAGCCACTGCTACTGTCCACCTCTATCAAATAGGCATGGAGGCCAAGTTCAGGAGCTGCAAACAGTCTGCATAGGATATATGCTTGCATAAAATCCAGAAGTCATCTTCAGGAGCCAAAGATGAAGAGTTAGTGCAACCACAGGCTATGCTTGGATATTTATGGCATTTAGGATCCTGTCCTCTCTCACACAATCATGTGGAATGTTTATGCAGTAACCCCATACTTCACTAACACTGCCTCAAAACCTTACTCTTCTCTTTTGTTTTTTTCTGAAAAGACTCAAAAGAACTGCTCTTGTAGCAAGGTGCAGCAGCACAGCAGGAAGAAAACACAATCTTTTCTATTATTAGTTTTCCAGAAAGATATTTTACTACTGAGCAGTATGTTTTGACCCATATTGAGCTTTCCAAGTGTTAAAATACTGTATCAGTATTGGTAGAGATAAAATACAATATTTCCTAAAGAGCTAATAGATTTCTAATATGTGACTGTCTTAAAATCTTTTAGCATAGCTTAAACACAGACTGTAACATCTTAAGATACAATGATTTTCAGCCCTGCCACTGCTGTTCTTCCTCTTAACAGACTGTAAACATTTGCCATGATACAAAATGGAATTTATCATTTACTCTTCCTTTCACAATTCTAGTCATTTTTTCCTTGTTCAACACCACATTCTCGTTACAAAACTTCTGTCTGTTAATGCATGTATAAGCTTTAGTTACATGAACTCCCTGCAGGAAAGGAAGAGACACAATGTAAGGATAAAGGGATTTTTTTGCTTTCCCTTTTCTTTTGGAGCACAATACAAACTCAAGAGAGGTCAACTGAATTTTGTCTTAAGTAAAACAGCTCCTGTTGTGCAGAAATCCAAAAGGAGAGATATAAACATATGTTAATTGTAGGAACTTTCTAACACTGAAAACTAACTAAAATCATCTATGGTACTTTGTAAAGATCAGTAAAACAAAGCACACATTAGCTTACTTTATTTCAGGAGTAACAATTTCTGCTGCTAAACTGTCTGAAGGCTCTTGTCTTCCCAGAGGCATCAATCCTGGGTTAGGAAAAATAAAAAATTTAGCAAGAAGACCAGTAACTTTCTTTAAAAGACCAGATGTAAACATTATTCTAGAAGTTTACAGTTTTAGAGTAATGCTAGAAGATGGAAAAATGACACAAAGTCAGGCTACAGCAGGACAGACAGACAAGCACAATTTCATCTGGAGAACAATCATTATTTCTATCTTCATCCCTTCTGATCAAGCAATTTTGTGGTATATTTTCAGCTCATTAGCTTATCTAAGAACTACAAAGCTGTGCAACATCACACATAGAAATAAATTGGAACACATGAAACATCATACACACATGAGAAAACTTATTATCTCTCTAAAGAAAACTCTGTAACTACACATAAATTAGAAATACATTATAAAAATATCACACTGGGGAGGAGACTAAAATTTCTGATTGACTGAAATAACGTTTGAAGTTTTCAAATGCTTACAAAGTTATGAATAGTTGAATCAGCTTTTCACTACTGATCTTAGAGAAGCTTAAATTTATTCTGTGCTAAACAAAAGTGCATTCAATACTCTCCAGAGAAGTCCTGTAAACTTTCGAAAAGATGCATTTAATCTCCTTATTTGTCCTTTACCTGTAGTGGTGAGTTGACCCTCCTGAGCTTGTACACATCTAAGCTCTTCAATAGTTTCTTTCAAAGAATCCCTTTCTGTTCTTAATCTCTGAATAATTGGAAAGAGAATGAATATCAGTGTTGGCACTACAAATCCATCTTCATCAGTACACAAGGTGCCAAAACGCATAGCCTTCAACACTTTAAAAGGAATTTAATGCAACTCTAGAGATTATTTTCAAATTAAGGCATCTAAGTAGTAACAGAACAAATATAAATATTATATATTCCACATAAACAGTGGTTTTTTTGAGAAGTGTTGCTGCTCTTACACTGACGGGGATAAAAATATCAGGGTATAAGCTTACAAAATCAAGGTATTGGTGACACAAAGTTCTGGTACCAGGTAGTAAACAGCACCCACCGGGGCCACTCAGCCATCCTCCTTTTCCCCTCATCAGGGCTGAAAGGGAAGTGAATTAAGAGACTGTAGATTTTTCCCTCACCAAAAAACCAAGGTTTAACCAGGAGTGAAATAAAAAGCAGGTGAGTACAGAGTCAACATAACAAACAAACTGAATTAAACTCATTCTGTTTGTACTTCAACAGTGAAAGAATGAGCAGCATTTCCACATCCCCTTCCTCCTGTGTGTCAACTGGCCTTGCCATTCACCAGCATCTTAGCTATGGAAGAAAACTAGTTGCTTGAGGCTCAATCCAAAGAGAACTGAAGAACAGGACTAGACTACCTTGGGATCTAGACAGATGTGCTCTTCAGTAGCATCAGGCAAATACTCTCTCAATTTGGCACAAGTCCTCTTTTGGCAAAAATGAGAATCTACAGGTAGCATCGAGTTTTTGTCCAGAAGGTTGCCAAGATTCAAAAATGAAAGGAGAAAATGTCAACTATGTAAAGATCCAAGTTGTAGTTTGCTCCAAAATCAGACGTGTCCGGTATTACTAAAAGGTCCACGACAGACCTCGGCTCTGTGTAGGTATGGAGTTGTGTCAGCTGACAGTTCTTTTCATTTAATCCTATTAACAGTTTGATTCAGATATATTTTATATTTCAGCCCTAATAGATCTTGGAATCACTTTGGCAAAGAACATTTTAGTGAGGTGTGACAGAGGCTTCTGCTGTATTTCTGAATCCTACAAGGTGAACTCTGGTGCAACTGTCAGAACAATCTGAATAAAGTGTACATTCTGTTAGCACTGAAAGTCATTTCACAAACCTCTCAGGTGAAAAAAACTGTTTTTACCATAAATACTACAGAAGAAGAGCCACACAGAGGAGTGCTCAAACTCAGCTCCAGAAATGAAGGATTCTGCAATCTGCTACCATCAGTCAGAAAACACCAAGTTAAATTAATCAAATACCAGAATATTTTAACTAACAGAAAAAACTCTAGGGCTTCATTTGTACTCTGCAGACAAAGTCAACCTATCAATTATCTTAGCACTTATCACACAACACACCACAGAGGTAAAATTCCAAGCTACAAAGCTGAAGGTATCAAACACGTTACCACACTTTGCCAGAACACATAAACAAGGACAAAATCAATTTCAGTAACTGTTTCCAAAATAAAACTGACAAGATACTACTACGTGGCTTGTGACCTGTGGTGAGCAACCTTACTGGTACATATGTGACAAAAGGGAACAGAAAAAGTAGGTAACACCGGTAGAGAATCACTAATTCCAATGTTTAGAGACTTCACTGTAACCTACTTCTCACAGGGGTATATCCATCTCAAAGAACGTATTGAAAAACAACACCTACCCCAAAAAATCCTGTTTGCCAGGGGGCAAAACAGAAAATTGTATGACAACAGCCTGCAATTCAGATCCTTTGTGCAAGATGAAATGGTCCACCAAGCAATGGGTAAGCCACAGACACCACCTTACCATTGTCAAACATAACAAAACTGGAAAAACAAACTTTAAATAAAGAGCAGGAAAGAAAATCAAAACATAGTACAAATACAGCTACTATGGGCATTCTTGTCTGAACTGAAGGGCAGACGAAAGTGATATCAAAGACAAGGGTCCACAATAGTTTGAAAATCTAATAAAATATGGAAATCAAAGACCTATGAACAGAAAATAATGGAAAACTTTCAGCTCAAATGCTATTGAAGTGCAGGGGATAGAAATTTTGGAAAGAATTGTACAGGAAATATGATTATTGAGGGAAAAGATTACAGAGATTTTGACTGATGGATAGATGGACTTTGACTTAAAATAAGCCTAAGAAATTGCTAACTCAAAGTGTTGGTCTTGGTTTGACGTAGTCTGAGGCGCCTGCATATACATTTCTAAGAAACAAGCCAAAATAAACTGGTGAGAAACAACAGTGTGAAACAGAAGTCTGAAGGATCAGTCTTGGCAAGAGAGGACAGAGCAATTAATTGCAGAATCACTAACAGCAAATGACAGAGAGGAAGGGAATAGAGTGGTATCCATCCTGCATGTTCCATGTTTGCAGTGCAACATAGATCAACAAGGAGCTGTCATAAAAGGTGAGATCACCACAAAAGATGTGTCCCTCTACACAACTTCAAAGCTTCTTGCTGGACTAGCCCTGACTTCATAAAGAGAAGCATGCTGATGGTAACTCAAAAATGCTTTAGAAAAAATGTTACAGGAGTTAAGGTCTAGGATGATACTACAGAAACCCTAAAGAGTTTTCCAGAACACATTACAATTACCCTGGGTGTTTATTAACCTTCGTAATGGTCAAGATGGTAATGGTAAATGGTCAAGAAACAACTTCAGATCCCAAACATGAAGGCTTTTCCTCTTAAAAATGGGTTGCATATGTTTTTGTACAGTCACTTTATTCCATGCTGTACAGTTCTTAGGTTTGAAAAGGATCTTGTACACAAACATTAGAAAACTGTAAGTGAAAAAAAACCTCCTCATTTAAAAAGCTTGCCGTAAATGGCTAACTATAATTACCATATCTCTGTGTTGTAAAGGACACAAAGTTGCTATCGCTACTACCAAAAAAAATACCACCTTGGCACTTACATCTTTTTCTTTTTGGAGGCTGTCTACTTTTTCTTTCAGTCGCTTGCATTCATAATCTAATTTATCAGCTTTCTTGGATTCTTCAGATAACCTGTTTTGTAGTTCAACTGCCTGTGAGAACAAGAATCAATAATTTGTCTGCAAATATTAATATTAAAACAAAATATACAAGACAAAGTAGCCAATTACCATGCACCATGTGTCATGTTGTAAACAGGTGAAATAGTTACCTATAGGACATACTAAAAACTGCTTTCATCAGTTGTTCTATGTTTCAGTAAAACCAACCACATTCAAATATTAGGTCTTAGGAGAAGCAAAAGAAGCAAAAACTGTGAAGTATTTCAGTACGTCTAAACCCAAGATATTAAGTAGAAAAATCCTCCTGCATTCTGAGAAGCCTGGGAAAAAGAAAAAACTCTGAAAAAAGCAAATGGTCTACACCTTTTGTTAACTATTTCACAAGCCTCACTCAGAATTCAATCACTAGTTTATGCAATCAGGTAATGTTTCCTAACCTGAGATTTTCCTAATCATTTTAAATATACTAATATAAAGATTCAGCCACAGGCTCATAAGCAGTTGTCTTTACGTCAGAAGGAAACATTGCTAACAAAGTCACATGTATTCTTTCAACTACAGATCAGTAAAGAGCTTTTAAAATTAAATCAGCAGAGATCTGAAAGCTGAGCAAAAACAATCAGTGAACAGGAGGCAAAACAGGGAAGTCTTGCCTTTTCAAAACTTTCAGCCTTTACTAGCAAAGGCTCATTCCCAAAACATTAGTAAAGCTCATAATGTACAGAGCATGGAAGCAAGTAAGCTGAATAAAGACTGACCTGCAAACACAAAAGCTGAATGAAGACTCAGATAAAGACATACAGCTTCTTCTGAAGTGATTCATAAGAAGGGTTTTTCATGGCTTTTAGATCACAGAGAAAGTGATTAATCTAAATTGTGAAGCAAAGCAGTAGCTATACCTACATTAAGACTGCCTAATGGTTCTAATTACTTTTTCTCTTCAACGTGCATAGCTATAGCAAAATAACCACTAGGCCTAAAAATCTGCATGGTCTTAAGTCTTAGAGAAGGACTTTGCTGTTGTTGTTAATTTAAAAGCTGCAAAAGAAGCACAGGCCTGTCAGATTAAAAAAAAAAAAATCAATGTTAGATATGAAAATAATTCGTTTCTCAGATGTGGATTCCACCACTGGGACTATCAGAATAATGGCAGCTATAAAAAATAAAAATGCAGGCCTTCACCTGTGATTGTGCGCCCACTTGCAAAATAGGTATAGTTTCACCTCAATGGAAGCAAATGCATTAATGTTTGTAATCACTCATGCTATAGTAATGGTATGTAGAAAAATACAACAGGAAACAAATCATCTTGAATCAGGACCTGGGAGTGTATAGAAAGATATACAGCTACATGGCAATGCAGAAGATTAAAAAAAAAAATGAACTGCCATCACATTTACTGAGCATTATCTGTCGCGTGGAATGAGTAAAGCAGGAATCTTGCAGCAAAGAAAAGCAAGACATACTGTTAAAAAAAAAATAATATCAGAATGCACATGCACAAAGGGGCTGAATTAAAATTACAAAAAATAATCCTGGAACCTTCACATTTCAATTCCTCAGGCTGCAACAAAAAGTTTCTTAGAAAATGCTAGTACTTGCTTTCAGAAAAGTGAACAAAAAGTCTTAGATAAAAAAATGCTATTACATCTCCCAGCACAATACACCACCACTAACCTCATCTCACAGAAACTGCTGGATGGGGTGAAGATCGGATTTCCTTGCAGATCACTATAGGATTTTGAACCAATCTGGACTTTCATCTGCACACCACAGAGCTTCTAAGCCAAAGAAATAACTCATCTCATGGCATCATGATGAGCGGGATTGGATCCTTCACACACCAGACAAGACACATTCCACTACAGGGGCACACTAGTGCTCAGCAGTGACATAACATCTGAATCGTTACACCTGGCTTAATTCTTATAGCACAATTTAGGATTCCCAGAGATTAATTTTGCTACATTTCATGATTAACAGGCAGGTCTCAAAACAAGCCCAGCCTTACAGACACTGAAGGAAAACACACTGTATGTTCATTTTGAGGCACTGTGGTTAGGTGAAGAAAACTCACATCTGTCATGAGACTCCTGAGCTTTATTCCAGTCTCAGCCAGCAGAACAGTTTTGTACAAATCAACAGCTCCTCAGACATCAAAACCTACCCATAAAACACAGGGAATGATGAAGAAAAGGAGGAATATTTTTGCAGCACAAATGGTGGGACTGGCCTTTCCAAAGTCCTCATTGTTGTTGAAATAAGAACAATCAGATGCAGATGTTGAGGTTACACAACTATATCACATGCTCAGCTGTTCAACGAAGTGAAATATTTGTTGTCAGACAACATGATACTACTACTCATGTGTGAAAGGCCATTGCTTTCTATGTTTACTTTTCCCTTTGATTGTCTGCTATTTCAGCATTTTTCTTGTCCAAGTTCTTTTTTGTGGTGCAATCATTTGGATTGTATTTACAATTAGCCCATAGAGGCTGAAGCTAGCTGTCTTAATAACTAAGATGGCCAGGTGCAGTGAAAAAGTGATCAAGTCTTAGGGATACACATTGCTCCTGGGCTTGCAATGTTGTTAGTGGTTGTTTCTGTATTTTCATTCTGCTGTAAGCTGACATATAGGGACCTCTGTGCCATGACCATTCAAGATTAAGAGCAGGCAGAAATACAGAGCAGGCACTACTACTTTAACGAACCATGCTCTGTCTGGCCCTGTAATAAGAATCCCAGAATGATGTCATGTCAATGTAGTGTAGCAGAGAGAACATTAAACACGTCTTCCACCTTTACAGAAACAGGATCACATGGTACTTTGATAAACAGGAGGATAAACAGATTCCTTTCACTCCAGAGAGTGTGCTGGTGACACATTTTGTGCTCTGCTGGGTGCACATAAACAACAGGGATGATATGCGTCCTTCTCTCTTCATAACTGGACAAATTCAGACATATCAGACAAACTAGAACCTCAAAAATAGAGGTTACTTAACCACAGGAATAACTTACCTCAGCTGTGGTGTGCTTCTCACTGCTGGAAATTTGTAAGTGTAAAGCAGATACTTTTTCTGAAAGAAGAAGTTCTAATTCAAGCCTCACTACTGAATACGAATTAGGAATAATTTGAGAAAAAAAACTTAAAATCTGTTGTTTTTTTAAAACTAAGAAACATTGCTTATTGGCAAACTAATGTAAACTTGAAATAATGATAAGAATTGCAGGAAAGGAGGACAAAGGTAGTACCTATTAAAACACAGAAGTCTTCTAAACACAGGGATTGTTTGTTCATAATTTCTTTTTTACTTTGAGGTATTAGCCATGTTATGAAGAGAAAGTGTTGAACAATACAGAGAACTGTCGCACTAATGATGTCTGTTCTCACCTGTCTCTTGTATGTTTCCAGCTGACTGCGTGCTGCATTGGCCTTCCTTAGTTCTTCTTCCAGGCTCACGGTATTTTGCATGTACATTGTATTCTTCTCTTCTAAGAGTTTCACTTGCCGTCGCAAATCACCCAGGTCTTCCAATTTCTTTTTGTATGACTCTACTTGGCTTTCTAACTTGGCTACTTTATCAGAAGAATGCCTGGAGGGACAGATTTGTCTCAAAACTGTACTCTGAAAACTAACAAAATTAAATGTCCTGATGCTTCCTCAGTACTTTGCCTTAATGCAGAAGACATTCTGAGACAGCATGGGGAGAACAAGAAAGCAACCATATCCTCCTGTTACTAATGTTTTCACTTTTAAATTATCGACTTCTCTCCCATAACTATTTGTCAACTCAAAGAGCTGCTGACAGAAGTACCTTTAGACTCTATCACTCTTCTTAATACATCCTTCTTACCTGCTTCCAATCTTAAAATAATAGTTACAGCACCTTCACTCCCATCTATTTCCTTTCAATTCTAAAACGATCCTCAGTCCTGCATTTTACAAGGGTAAAGAATAAAATTTTCTGCTCTTCCATTTATTTTAATGACAGCCAGAAATAAAATCATAAAGGTCTATCTCCTGGGTAGCATACACTTGGTGACACAGAAGTACCATAACAGCTTTGGAGCCTGATTCCTTCTAAAAAAAGAGAAATACTAGGCTCCACTCATAACATTTCACAGTTTTTTCAGTCCACCTGGTGCACTGCCAGGACAGCAACAGCCCTCACCCCCAACCACCCACACCCTCGTCACTATTACTGTCCCCCATTTCATTTTAGAACCAAGTGATTTACAGACTCAATTTCCTATGAAATCCAAAGAATCCCCCATTGAACTAATGGTCAATTTATGGGTCATAGGGGCAAGCCAAACTTCCTTAATCCCAAGTGAAGTGCAGAGCCTCTCTCTGAGGCAAAGAATAACTCTTTGGGGCAAGGAATAACTCTTTGAACCCATGTTGCCCACACAGATTCTTTATGGAATCGTGCAGCCTGATGGCTTCATTCCTTAAATTAACGACACAGGAGTTAAAGACAGATAGATTTGGTAGAAAGCTGCTGGTGAATTAGAAAAGGCAGTATTAAAATAAGCCTTGCTAGACTTGCTAGGAAGAGTGCTACAGGTGGGTAGTGGATAACTGTTCAAAATAACCCATAGCAGCAAGACACCACTACTGAAGGACTACATTCCATAGTAAAAGGTGCTGCCACACCCTATAAACTCCTAGCATCATCAAACCATGACAACTTTGGGTGCTACAATCCAGTGGCAAAAAGAGCTGTAACAGATGTTGTTTATATCAGCATTATATGATGAACCAAAAGCGCCACCTAAAGTCTAAACAATGCAAACTCAGGAAAGGAAAGGGTCTAGTTCCTTGATGAGAACAAATGCCCAAGTCATGATGAAGGTGAGTAGAAAATACTCCAGAAACCAGTCAGTGACTTGTTATGACCACAAGATCATGTATGATTGCTAAGTTTACTAATAGTTCTTGATTAGGTACATAATAAATAACCATTTTATTTAAGCAGAATTGTGTGGTTGTCTGTGTACTTAACTGTTCCAAAAGAACCTTGCCATTGAGAGTGTTTATATTTAATACTAAAAGTATTTAAACAAAAGCTAATAAAGACTAAGAACATGAATTATATGGATTCAAAGTTAATAGTTTAAAAAGGGTTACTGGAACAGAGTTTACCTGAGTACATCTATCTCATCCTTCAAAGACTGAGCCTCCTCTGCCAATGTAGTAAGCTCTTCTGTTTGTTGTCTCAATTCAGCAATTTCCTTTTCTAGTTCTTCACAGCGTATTCGATAGTCATCTTTGGCAGCTTCTAACCTGTAGAAATGAGGTAAAACCGAAAATAATTTCTTAGCTTCAGACACAGTTACCTCTCCTCATCATCATCCTCTCTAAAACATGAAACAGCCTTTGGGTGCAGTGAACAAGAACAGCAGCCCAACGTGCTTATTCAAAACCAACTTTTTTATGCTCCCTATTTGATATCAGTCTTTCTATTTAGAAGATCACAAGGTAATGTATGTTCTCAAAAAGATAAATCCTGAGTTTTTTCTGTCATAGTAATTTTTAACAATGGAAGCTCAAGCAGAAATTTCCATCGTTTTTCATCTTGGGGCATACAGAGTTTGAACATGATATCTTTATCCTAAGATTTTGTTCAGTTCTTCAACTCTTATACATCTTCAACAATACTGATCTGATTGTCAGATGTTCTAATCGCTGTAGGGCTCTCACCAAGGTGGCTTTATTTATTTATTTACTTACTTCTAAAGAACCTGTGCATGCCCAGTATCTCTGAAGAACTAAGTCATACATTCAGTTATCTAGTTAGCATGTAAAGAACTCAAGACTAAAGTTTCTGGAGTTAACTACCTACATACAGCATACACAGGCAAAGCTGCATTAACCTGGCAGTGAACAAAGGGAATAACTAAGAGAAACTCTGTCAAAGCATTTTGAATGAATGTAAGAAGACACAACCTGGAAGATGAAGTCTTACTGTGATTTTGATTCAAAATTAAAATAAAAACAATCCAGAAAAGGAGGATTAGGCATGGGGGAAAAAAAAAGTATTGTATTCATTAATTCAAGGAGTTAAAAAAGAATCTGCAAGAATGGAGACAAGAGATAGTCAGCAGGTCATCTAAACCATATACAACAAAGATTTGGATCGTGATAGACCGGAACTGTCAAAGGACATAAAGAAGCAACACTGGGAGAAAAACTGTTGGAGCACATTGGGCATCAGCTAAGCTGTACATATGTCCTGTTTTGTCAGGTACAACTGGAGAAGGAACACATATAAATTGCCATTAGAAACCACATGCTATGAAGGCAGCGGAAGGAGGTAAAGGAGGTGGGGAGATGAGTCTCACACATGAAAAGGGTTTAAAAAGACCTTCAGAACCTGAAACTAGAGTAACAGGCTGTGCAGATATTGCATATGGGGAGAGAACCTGTTTAAACAGCAACTGATAACCGATTCAGGTAGGAATCATTCCAGAGCATGGAGATGAATAAGGAGAGATAAAAGGGGACATTAGAGAGATATCACTACGTTATTCCTTTACATTGTTGATGTATAGAAAGAAGAAAACCAGGCACTAGCTGCAGTGAAAGAGAAACATTGAATGGTTTTCAAGAAACTGAAGGGATCAGGTATGTCTGAACACACAGGAAATAGGCTTAGCAAGAGGAAGTGGAAAAATGGCAAAACAGGCAAAAAAGGAAAGTTACACTGGACCTGACACAAGAATTAGAAGAGGGCAACCAGAAGAGGACAGAAAGAGAAGAAAAACTGGCAGTGTAAAGAAACACCACAGTTTCACTCACAAAGGATAGGGAAAGTATAACAACAAGAATGAAAAGATGATGAAGCGGACCAGCTTTCTTCAGCAGAATAGGCCTAGAGAGCCTGAAAGCAACAGTCAAAAGGACCAGGAAGGATATTTAAAGAGGATCTGTATTTCCATGTGTTGAGGAAATGCAAATGAAGAGCAGAGCTCACTTGTGGATAATCTCCCATCTTTCAGATACAAAACAATTTGTTCTCAAACTCAGAGAAGGACACACTTTGCTGTATAATACCACCTGTAGTACTGTCCATAGCAAACTTTCAGCTAGGAATTCCTACACCTTAAAAATACAATCAGAATAATTTACACAGAGGAAAGCACGTTACTTTTCTCACTGATTTTGAAAAACAATTTAAAAAATATTTTAAATTATTCACGTGCAATAATTTCACAGAATAGAGACTGACGTGTAAAAGCATTTCAGCATTAAGAAATTATGCATTTTTTTAAGCTGGAGTTTGTAAAGAGGTAAATCATGACACGTACGTCACTGTAAAAACTTTACTACTGTAGTTATACCACCTATTACACTAATTCATAATTGGCAGCAGAACCAGAAGTAGGTAAGTCATGTCTGTTGCCAGTTACAAACAAACAATCTAACCAAGTGGAGCTTTTCTACCTGAATGTTTCCTCTTGGAGTTGTTCTAGTTGTGTCTGCAGCTGCAAATGCCTACGACCTGCAGGGCTGTTGGGATCTTCAATAGAATCAGATTGATTTAAACGTTCCATCAAAATCTGGTTCTCGGCAAGCAAGCTGCTCTTCTCCTCCTGAAGAGCTGCAACCTGTTGTAATAAAAGCATAATAGCAATTGCTATGTGATGTAACCAACACTTTGCAACATGAGCCTGAATCATCACATACACCAAAATCAAGCATGACACACAAATCAGCTTCATTAGTTCTAACAGTTACTGAACTGCTTGGTAAAAGCCTGAATTATACTCTAAAGTAGGGCTGCAATAGCAATGTCTTTCAGGGCTCGCAGTTCACACTCCTCACGTCTTCTGGATGAGGTATGCTTGATTTACAGTACGGCTTAGTCTAAATCAATACACAGTTGATAAAACTACAATAACTTCTGACTGGGATTTAACTCTTAACTGAAACTGTTACGGCAGCTTAATCTCTGTTAGTTCTGTAATGCAAGAGTTGAATCACACAGCTCACGCCCTTCCTACCCGAATGAAGAAAACCATTGTTAGTACGAACCATCTTAGTACTGGCAACACTGCATCATGATATGAAAACAATTAAATTCACTCTGCTAGCACAAGTAAAGCAAAATAATTACTGTGCAATTTTCATCTTCCTTTTAAAAATTATGTTTCCACATTATACTTCTTGTTTTCAGCTGCCTAAAAATTAACACATCTTTCCTACTTCAAAATTAATATGTATAACACAGCAAACCTACCTGCATATCTAACTCATGACATCTCTGGGCAATTTCTTCTTTTGTTGCAAGTGCTTCATTTAATTCTTCTGTAGTTTTCTTCAGCTACCATAAACAACAAACATTTACAGTTTCATCACTCTCCGTGAAGTGTCTAAAAATATTCTGAACTACATGACTGTAAAATTATTTTTACATTTCGGTAATAAAAACACAATTTTTTGGAAAACTGAGGCAATCCCACTTTTATAAAGAAACAAAGAACCAGACATGATTACTTTAGTTTGTGAGACATTAAAAAGTAAACATACCTAAAAGTAATATTTGGTCTTACAAAAATACATTAGAATTATCACATTCGTTTTATGAATTGAGTCAAAAAATCCTGAAGAACTTGGCTCTGAAGGACTCATCAACTCTGTACACTGAAAAAATTGTCAATACCACTTTTCTTTACAGATGCAAAGAGGACATAATTTCAGTTTTCAGTCTACTTTTCAAATACAGAAAGGAATGGAAGGTGGAATACAGGGAATGCACAATTAGGGTAAAATCTCTCTACGCACTGGAAGCTACTCTTACATCACAACAGGAATACAACTACCATGGTGAGGGAGAAGCCTACCCTTCTGAAAATGGGCACTGAATCTTGTAAGCAGTGGGAAATATTCAGATAGTTCCCTTCAAAGGCTTTACGTTCAAAGATATGTATCTTGCAAGCTTGCATATGAATGCAGTTATGATAACATAAAAACCAGAGCTATAAGAAAACTGGCCTGATAAAACAGGTGCATGCATATTATGTATATAGAGCTATAGATATGTATTATTATATATGATGAATTTTAGATGGGCTTTCTCAAACAGCATCATCGTATCTTACTTTTTTAAGTTTATTTGTCAAGGGTCTGTTGACATACAAAAATTAATCCCATCTGCCAGAATTTACATACTTCTGCAGAGAGAGCACAATGGAGGAACACAGGAAACACCACTGTACTGTGCTGCTTCCCAATGAGAAAAAAACTGAGGAAGCAGGACAGTGTTAGCATGAGGTTAAGCTAGTAAAACAAAAATTGGGTTTGCATATTCTTTAACTATATTAGACAGGGAAGGATTCTCTTTGAAAACTTCTCTTATATATTGTAACAGTTCCCAGGACTGCTTTAAGGATTTTTGAGCCACATCTATGGGTTTTTTTTTTTTAACTGACTTTGGAAGCAGGAACTGGCAAAAAAGTTTTATTCAAATACTACTTTTTTTTTTTATCCTTCTTTCTCAATACACACAGATTTGCATCAGTCTGCAGTTTTGCTATACTACGCAATACAGCTAAACTTGTTTTCCAAATTGAGTTTTTCTCTCCTTTAAATACACAAAATGGGTAAACTCAATTTTTAAAGCAAAAGGACTTGAAATACTGAAACATAGTCTTCCACTCCTTATTTGAATTTCCCGCAAAATCCTTTCACAATTAAAGAGAGACAGACTTCTTAATAAAGCAAAATGACTGGCCACTGATTAAAGGAAAAGAAACATCTAGTCTTAGATACCTGCCGATCAAGGTCAACGTAAGCATCATTTCCAACAGAGACTGGAGACTCTTTACTCATCAACTGCAATTAGATTACACCAGATTAGAAAAAAGCAAGGATTTACTTTTATATTAAAAGATAAGCTTCAATGAAACACCAAGCAGATTTAAACTTTTGGGAGCTTCAATCTGACTTCTTTCGCAAGTTTTTAACTTCATTTTTATATATGACATATTGAGAAACAATTACAGAAAGAAATCTTCAGAATTTAAAATATTCAAAGCACTATAAAAGAAATCTTACATCATCTCTTTTTCTTCTGACAAAGCACATTCTTTATCTATGATGAAACCTACAGTACACTCTGCTAAGCATTTTATTGAAGTAGCATTGGAATGGTGGTAGCTATCAACACACCATGCAAGACCTGCCTTTAATTGTTCTCTGCCAGTGGTTTTCACTTTTTGATCACCTAGAAGTTCAGATAAACCTATTTATTTATTTAACTAGAGTTGGGGACATATCTATCTCAGCTAATTCTGCAAAAGAAAGATGATCAAAAGTCCTGCTCTAGAGTTGTCTGTAATTTGCAAATTTAAAAAGAAAGTGCATAGAGAGTACTCCTGAAATGAGTATTAGAGTTCCTTGTATACTAACCTATTTTATTGCAGGAATGGTTGGTAGTGGTTTTAGTCTAGAAAACATTACTTTTAGCCACGACTTTTAAAAAAACCCATCATTAAAAAAGAAGCTCCAAATTGACTGATGTGTTTACTAAAAGATAAAAAGCTGATAAGAAAGTAAGTTTTCTTTCAGTAACCCACTGCAGCTACACAGATAGTTAAATCAAATGTAACAGAAGTTGTAGACCAAAGACCTCCTCCCACTGACCTCCAGCAAACATACTAAGATAAAGACATCACTGAAAGTTGTGAGACCCAAAAAAGAACAGTCTTCCAAATAAGAAATACCTTGTAACTAACTCACAAGGCAGCACTACAGAATCACACTGATGGTTTCTGTTACGCTGTCCAAATACAAAATGTTTTATGAGTTCTCCAATGACACAATTCATGGAAGCTGCAATCAAAAAGGCCCTATCCTAGCCAAAATCAGGACAAGATTTCTATCCTAAGGCCTGCTGCCCAGCATGGTTACTCTCTCCAGAGATAGGGCTTCCTTTATTCCTTCCAGAAATCAGTGCTTTTGCATTACTTTTCATTGACAAAGTTCCTTGGATAGACAGCACAGAGCTTTCATTTCTTCTCCGTCCCTTCTGTTTACGCCACTGTGTACAAGAGAAAGTCTGTTTGACATTTACATAATTCAAATATTTATACACTTACATTGCTCTTCCTTTCCCCTTCTCCTTAATTGGAATTTAGTTGTGTACCACAATGCTTAAATTCATCTATCTGTCCTCTGCAGTCCTCCTCAGACCTTGATTATGTTTGTTGCTAACTGCTAAATTCCTTCCATCTTGTCTACATCTTTACAATAGCAAACTACTCCAAAATGAAGCATTCCATGAAGCCCAGATTCTCTGTAACGGTAATCACAAAGTCCCTAGCCTCAGAGTTGTCCCCTCAAAAACGAAGTCACATGTCTTTTTCATTACCATACATAGTGGCATTACAAACTTGTATTTAATTTAGGGCCTTGTTTTCTAAGCTGATTATCGTTTTGCCATCCAAACCAAGAATTTCCATTCCCTCTCTGCTCTGTGATGTTTATATATGTTTCATTTACTCCATTCTACTAGCTACTGTTTAAATGCTCTTCCAGATGACTACCAGGGATATCCACATTACACCAAATACTGAACTCTTCTCCCTACTCTATATCCCACAACACTGTTCACAAGCATACTTCAGACACTAAGTTCCACCTGTTAAGCCAGAACTTTCCAGCTGGCAGGTCAGAGGCTGCATGCAGCCTGCAAGGGCGTACAACAATGTCCCTGACAGCCACTGCTCCTTTTCTAGCTCTAGCACAGAAACCCAGCTTAATAGGCCTGCTCAAGACTTACTGTAGGAAGCATACAAGAGGCTGCGCAACCCACTAGAGGCCACTGCGGTGTTGCTGCTTTCTGTGGATTACCGTAAAGGAAGCATGCCGAGGCCAATAACATAATCCCTTTATTCTTCAATGGGTTTTGCCATCTCTCCCAAGACTTCCTATCCTTGAGAATCCTTAGCAGAAATGTCCAGAAAAGAGGACATTAGCTGGAGAAGGATTAGGTGGTGGAGATACATGTAGCGTGAATGTTACAGAGAATTTGTGAACCTAACTCCATAGGGTGCATGAGGTACTGAGGTAAGAGTCACAAACACATACGCAGATGACTGACTCAATGCAACAAGAAGCATCTTGCAATCTTATGGCCTGTGCTATGGTGGGGATGATAAAGAAGAAATGTAAGGGATTGCGCTGCATCCAGTAGCACAACCAGACAAGGAACAGGAGTGAGACTGCCAGATTACTTACAAGTAATACAGGAATCCAACTTTTGATCATCAGTGAACAATAAACTGAAGTTAAGAAGTGAGGTGAAAAGAGAGAGTTATCAGAGTGAAGGAGTGTCTCCACCTTTT